TTTTCTTACACTTTTCTTACAGGAGCCAACCCACCCACTTTCTGGGTGTAAGGTTATATTTGAACAGGCCCTATCGCTATAGTGCGGTCAAATAGTCGAGGCACCACATTTTGTCAAATATCTCCTCAACTCTCGAACATAGGTTCTCCAATTTTTGCGCATTGACTTGTATCAATTTCTCTTAACAGATCTGCAGATCAACATTTTTGTAAACACCTGCTAGTTGTATTCTAGAAAATTCCATAATAAATACTAATTTTAAAAATCCAAGTGGGTGGTTTCTACGGATTTTAAAATGTTTACAGCTGGGACAATATTGCTTCAAGTCCGTCATGATTTTCTAATCGGGGCATTATGCTGATTGAACGCATCTTTTGAGAACTATGAACAAAAATTGTGTTCACTACAAAATTAATTTCTTGTAACAAGTTTTGCCACTAACATTGTCATTGATAAGCTGTGATGTAGGCCATACGCATAATCAAAATGTGTGTGAGAAGCGGGAAATGCTGTGAACTGAACAATCCCATTTTACGTGTGACAGAGATTTCAAGTATTTTATATAAATTTATGTTTAAAAAAATTTTAATCTAGCCCCACTGAAAAAATATGATTTAGTTTTAGACAAATTGATACAAACTCATTTGCAAAGTATGGATGACATTGATTCACTCGTTAAAGAGATATTTGAGGATAAGATGCTCCATGAATTTTTGACAGCACTATAGAACGTTATAGATCTATTCAAATGGTTTGAATGTTCACAACACGCCATATTGTACCTTTTCGAGATTATTTTAGACAGCTTTAGAGAGTTTTGGTATTATGGACTGAATCAGAAGTTTGCATTCGAGCATCTGCTCTTCTTGGACTTTCTACTGCTGATGGGTTCTGTAACATACAATGTCACCCCCGCGGTTTTTCGACTTTTCCCCGAGAAGACTTCATTATGAGACCCACCCCGTAACATGCAAACTTCATAATGACTTGTATTTTCCATCCTGTTTGGCCTAAAATTAAACGGAGTTTGAAAATTCCCAAGACAAAAATCCACTTGATTTTCATACCCAACAATCATCATCATGATCCAGTGCCAGATCTGTGGCAGACATCGGCGATCATGGTTATCCATTAACAGCGCAGGAGCGACGGAGAACGTGCTCCTTTGGCGACGCTTTCTCCAGAATCGTTGCTGAGGACT